CTGCTACTGCTACTGCTCCTGCTACTGCTACTGCTCCTGCTCCTGCTACTGCTACTGCTACTGCTACTGCTCCTGCTACTGCTCCTGCTACTGCTCCTGCTACGGCTCCTGCTGCTGCTGCTGCTGCAACTGCTACTGCTACTGCTGCTGCTGCTGCTGCTGCTGCTGCTGCTGCTACTGCTACTGCTACTGCTACTGCTACTGCTACTGCTACTGCTACTGCTACTGCTGCGCTACTGCTACTCCTCCTCCTCCTCCTACTCCTCCTCCTCCTGCTCCTACTCCTACTCCTACTCCTACTCCTACTCCTACTCCTACTCCTACTCCTACTCCTACTCCTACTCCTACTCCTACTCCTACTCCTACTCCTCCTACTCCCACTCCGAACTCCGACCCCTACTTCCTGCTCCTCCTCCTTCTCCAAATACTAGTTCGACTAGTTCGAGCATAACGCGACAAGTATTCGTGCTGCTACTAGTACTACACCCCTCACCCTGCATTCAAACAGACTACCATGATGGCGATGATTGGTTGAATGCGAGGAGTATGATGACTGTGTGTAACAAGCGCTCGTCGTCCGTGCGTGCAGTCACTCGTGGTGAGGCTCCTCTTCCGTATATTTGTGGCTTAGTTCCTGCTTGACATTGAGTCCTGCCAGATGATGTACTTCCATGCCTTGTGACTTGTCTGTGCAGTCCCTGTGTCATTCGAAGTGGAAGGCATATCTCGGCTGCAAGGGGTGGGACTTTTTAGGGGCCTTCTTTTCGGTGTCTTGAGCATCACTACGGCAGGTAGAGGCCCCGCAAGACGTCGCGCCGCCGGCGCCTACGATGCTGCGTCCAATCGGAGGCCTTCTCGTTCGTTGCCCTACAGGCTTTTGTCGGAGCCACCGGCGCGGAATGCGTTTGAATTTTGGGCTTGTTGTGGTAGTCATGGTCCTAGTCAACCCGAATTCTCCCCGTTGCATTCGCAGGAAGACGATCCATAGGCTTTTAGCGGGTAGCATGCTGCCTGCAGCCGTTTATCGGCAGCCAGAAGTCCTCACGTGCCCGATGGGTTCCTTTAGCACCCGTCGCGCACCCAGACTAGGTCCAAACACGTATCGTGTCAGCGACCATGGCACGGACGCAAGGCTTGAAGGAGGCCTGCCTACTCCGTTGGCGGCAGCTGGACCTCCAGATTTGCAACGCCACTCTGCGACGCTGCACACCTACGATCTGCAGTGGCTTGAAGAAGTTTCTCAAGGGCATCACGGGCTTCTATCGCGCAGGAATGGAGGTGCAAGGTCGTGAGTTGAGCTTTTCACAACGGCATGCTTGTATCCTGTGAGTGTGCCATCCGTATGGGAGGTCCGTGACTTTGGGGCCAGATGAGGTGAACGTGGGTGAACTGCCGAGTACCACTGCCTCCGCCGAAATTGCACTGGTCTGCCTCCTCGGAAAGCAGTGTCGTGCGCTTGCTGGCCGGCAAAGGACACGTCTCGCCACGTGGACCCATTGCTGCTCACGATGTCGTTCAAGGCTTGCGCGAGGCTGGAACAATGAGTCAGGAGTATTCCAGACCAATGAGCACAAAGTTGCCGTCGCTGCAAAGCAGCCTGCAGGCTGAGGATACGTCAACTTTCACTAACCTACACAAGGATGTGTGCAACTCATTCTGTTCGAGTTCTGGCCGGGATAACGATGATCAAGCCCGCTGCCAATGAGCAACAGCTTGCAGGTTGAGGAAGAGGGGGTGCTGCCGCTGCCGCAATCCTCAACATGGGAAGACGCAGAAGACGAGTGCGATCCATGCGCAGTCGCAGAGGTAGCTCCGACTCAGCTCTGCAGGCTCAGAATCAACAGCCACAGCGAGGTGCTGAAGACGGCGGATCGCGAACACAAGCAGAGGAAAGCTGCCTGCGTGTACTTCCGCAACAGAAGAAGCAAAGACTTGCCCTGGCCAGGCAGCCCGGACATGCGCTGGACGTCTATAGCTGTTGCACGTGAGATGCGAGGGGCCAAAAAGACATCGCGGTCTCCTCGAAACCTGGGGTTGTCCTCAGGATTCAACGTCAAGGGTTACAAGACGTTGGAAGCAGCAGGAACAGTGGATGATCTCCGTGTTTCTGGGGGTGGCGGTCACTTTTGAAGGGTCAGGTGAATTTGTCGTGTCCGGGATTGGCTTCTTGTTCGATTCTGCTGAGGGTGATGTTCTTCCAATCAGCTGTTTCGTTCTGCTCCGACTCGTGTTTCTTGTGTTCCTGATGTGCGGTCAGTGCCACGTGGCCATCCCAGTTGGAGCCCGGATGAACAGCTTGAACGCCGCCGAGCCGACCGAGTCCCCCTGAATATCCTTGAACTCAAGATTTCAGCCTCAATCCTTTCCAGAAGGTGTGGTGTCCAAGTCGCGGCGCCGGCTGCAACGCCTCGAGCGCTTGAGGCAGCGCGTCAGGAGCCTGTGCTGGGTGTCCGACTTCGCAGCCTTCGTGTAAAGATGCAACCTAAAATCTAGACCTTCCCCAAACCTACAGACATCACTGTGCGGGCACACAGCAGGCCGGTCGCAATCCGTTGGTGCTTAAGCTGGCAGATTAAAAAAGTAGGAGTACATGGTGTAGACCTCTGCAGGACCGGTGCGCGAGCTTCAGAGCCAGCTTGGGGCCGAGACGGAGCTGCATTGCGGGGGAGATTGCAAGCTAAGTCCTAATTATGAGGGCAGGCCTGTGTTTGGGCTCGCCGCGCACTGAGGTCATCGCAAGAACTGGCGAGTAGTGTGCGAAAAAGTGTGAAATGGGTATTTGAGAGTGGCATCACAGGTTACATGATGAAGCGCGTTGGAACCGGCAGGCATTCGTGAGCGCACCTCAGGCTAGATTGCCTACATATCTCAAGCTGGGCAGCTGCGCAGCAGATTGTCAGCCGAATTGAGTATAGACTTCAGACTTCATCATCACTTCGGACGGGCTCCGAAACAAGGCATCTTGAGTCACCCTTCGCATTTTCTGGCATCCGCCACTGTTTTCCTTCTCCTCCTGGACACTGGCACCACTGGCATGTTTGTCGCCCGGAGCTCGGAGCCAGTCTGGGCAAGCTTCCCCATGCTTTCGTCGTGGAAATCTTGAGGCAGACTCTCTTGCGTCTTTAGGTGACGGTGCAGTTCTGCGCGGAGGGCCAGCGATGGCAGCGCGACTTCGAGATAGAGGCAGATGCGACGATTCGTGCGCTCAAGGAGCCTGCGAAGCAGACCACAGCAGTCAAAGTTTCTAGAGGCTTGCCGCGAGCGGTTACATAATGTTCTAGTATATTATTAAGCGTTCCAATTTCTGTAATGTTGTAAGATCCTTATAACAGGTTATTGCATTACACATCAAGATAGTAGATTATCACCGTACGTTTTTGTATGTTGTTCTGTGCTATTATACACTATTCTAATGTGCGGATGGCTCTCTTTGGAATTTTCCCGGCTTCTCGGAGCATGTTCGTGTCTGTTGTTGGAACTTGGCGTTTTTGACATCATCAATGCAGTTGGACCGTGCATAGGAGTCCATGCTGAATCCTAACGGTGACGAGGAGGACGCCGAGTGAAGCTTCATGGTTTGTGTGCTGCTTTTCCAGTACAGTTCAGAGGGGGAAGATCTGATTGCGGCTTTCAAAATGTCAGGCGCACTTACGAGTTTGAGTCAGCCCGGCACGAGCTTACCTTGTGGTCAGGACATTGACGCCTTCGAGCTGCGGCCACGGGCTGAGAGAACACCCCACATTTGCAGAGCACAGTTTCCTTGAGGTTGCAGCCCCTTGTAGCGAAGCGTAGCAACTTGGAGACTGCCTGCTTTCAAGGATGCGTGGACGCCGGGTACCGGACTTCGAGAAGGTCTGGCAGGACGTTCCCAGAGTGCAGGCTTCTGTTGGGCGGCAGTTGTAATTGCCGTGGTGGCTCTTGAGAGCCCGCCCCCACATGTGAACGCTTGGGGAAGTTGCCTCCGATTGTCTTGCTTGACAGGATTGCACTCTGGACTTTGAGTACCTTGGGGCATTGGAGGGTGCACGAAAGGCTGCGGATGATGCCGGAGCGCAAGCACCAGATTATCTGCAGACATCGGCATGGCAGGGATTTCTACCCACAACGGTGCAAGCACACGGCAGGCGCGGCTGGACCGGCAGGATGAAGCGAGATGGGACGTGCTCCAGCTGCCACAGCAGGCGACCCTTCAAATTACTATGACTTCAACTAGGAGTTTGGTTTGCCGGACGTACAAAGTGGGGCAAATAAGTATTGCTCGATTCTTTTCCCAAGCCAGGAGCCACCCGAGCGCATCCGCCCCCGGTCAGTGCCGGCAGCGAAGAAGAGCGACAGCTCCATTGCGCGAGCCTGAGAGCTCGGGTCTGTGTGCTTCCCACGGTCGCAGCATTCCAGCTGCTCCCGTCGCTTGCCTTCTTGCCCGTTTGCCACTGGGCACCAAAAACATGATGTTCGCAAAAGAAGAGGGATCGGCCGTCAGGCACGCAGCGAAGCATCTGACGAGGCCACTCACAGTTCGGCGTCGCAAGATGTCGTCCGACGGTCATGCTTTGCCCTTGAAAACGCCGGTTGCCCAGTTTTTCCGACCCACGCCGGCACCGCGTCCGGCGGGAGCTGCACGCAAGGCGCGGAGTTGAGCAGAGCGGGAATCCTCGCTCCGCTGCGGCCGCCCTGTGCCAGGGGCCGCCAGCACCTCCAGTGAAGCGCTGGGAAGTGGTGGGTGGCTCCGACAAGGGAGGCGCGACCTCTGTTCCGTCTTCGGGCGTGTTACAAAGACGTGGTAGCTTTCAGGCATCTTGGTGCGGGAAGGCCAGTCAACCACCTCCAAGCAGCTCGCAGACCGCTTGTCCACAGGCACCAGTTGTGCAGTATGGAATGACCCAGTGCATGAGCGCATCTACCTGTCTACCTTGTTGCAGATGTGTTGTTGAGCCGACTGTGCTACGTGGCAAATAGCGGCAGCTGTGCAGCTGATTCATGCCAGGTGCTCTGGTCGAGGAGCTCGATCTGCGAGGAGAGCGGCTCCAATTCAAGAGGTGTCATCACCGATGGCGCTTGTAAACGATGGGTGATGTGGACGTTCGGGTTTCAAGGGGGGCCGCACACATGTCTGCGAAGGATTGAAAGCAGCCCAGGTGGTTCTAGAATGCTGTCAAGCTCATCGTTGCAGCTTCGCCAGGCTAACCGGCACCGGCCCCGAGACAGGCGCGGCCAGGCAGAGGGTTGCCGAGCTTCTCAGAAAAGTCATGGCTCGCCAGGCTGGGTCAGCCCGGAGCTGAGCATCATGGCCCCCTGTTGCCAAAAACTGTAAAGCTTGGTGTGGTGGGCGAGGAGCTTGAAAAAGCGAGCAGATTCCCTCGAGGGAAGAACTCCAGTCCCTCGCAACCCGCAGCGAGTCACAACTCTGAACGGGCGGACTTTGGGTGTGTGCCTGGTGTCCTGAGGCCTCAGTGTCTCCGGCAAGGACGGGAGCTCGAATCAGCAAGTCGATCCACCATGTGAGCAGAGATGCTGCAAAGCTCCAGGAATTGGTACGCCCGAAGCACGCTTCAGCGGAGGAGATGCTGACGACCCGGCCTGAGAATGTAGGGTTCAGGAGCCATCTCCTAGGACCCAGTGAGTAGGCGCTGTTTCACATACTCTGCTCAGGCTGGATTGTGCGCTCTCGCTTCAAGAGGAGCTCATGGAGGGTTTCGGCAAGCTGGAAGCTCGTGTCGACGAAAAGGGGTTGATTCAACAGACGCGATGTGTTCTCACAGCTTTGGTGCTTGTAAAGGCAGAGTGCCTGGAGCCTGGAGCCGTCAGTGCTCCTACATAGCTGCTTCCTAGGCCAGAATTCCAGCGGACACTGGCACAGCTCGTTCGTGCGTTGCTTGATCGCAATCAATTGGGAAATGTTGTGAAGCAGATGGTTGCACCATGCAGCAGAATGGAACTACTAATGTACCGGCCGGAGGTTCTTTTCGAAGTTTGGAGAAACTGCTCACACTCGCAGGCATCCGACAAAGGCCGGCGCTGAATTCTTGAGGAAGCGTGCGGCACCGAGCACTGCGGGCGTCTGCAAGCTGAGAAGCAGAGGCTGTCTATGCTTCTAAAACCCAACCGAAGGAAGCTAGACCCTATGCCCTCAACTTCCCAAAACTTCCCTAACCCTTAAACCCCCTTGAGTTCTTCCGGGGGCCATGGAGCTGTCAAGGCACAGAGCTCTTCCTCTCCGTGCAGAGCGTTGTTCTCCCGAGGCGGATCTTGAGACTTGTTCTCAGACTGGCCCAGTTGGGGCTTAGGGTTCGGGAGCTAGGGGTTCGGGGGTTTATGGTTTAGGGGTTCAGGGTTTTAAGCTTCGGGGGTTCTGGGGCCGAGGTCCCCAGCCCCTCGAGGGCAATCCTCAGCAACGTGCTCCCAGCCGCAGTTCGCTGCAAAAGGTACGGCTTCGAGGGCTCGCCGAAGGCGCGCACCGCAAAGAAGGAACCTACAGCAGGTTTTTTTTGTAGACTCTGCGAGTTGCAGTGGATGCTTCTGCGAGTCAGATCATTTTTGGGCCATGAAGCAGATGAAGCCCCATCGTCGCCTTTTCAGGGCGTGGTTCAGATGATGGCGGCCTATGCACCTCACGGCCTTGCACTCACTGTGATCTAAGGAGGAGGTTCATGCACACTCTGCTTTCGCCAAGATGTTTCGCAATGTGTCGGGATTTGGACTGCCTGAGTCTGAGGTCACTGTCCAGAAGTGGGCTGGAACAACGATCAGCTGAATAAGCTGCTTCAAATGTAAAAAGACAAGCCCAGGGGAAATCTTTTCAAGGAGAACTGATCTTTTTTTGGAGTTTGTTGACCCCTCGAGATGCATGAACTCGCGTATAGATGCTATAACAAATATCTCAGGACCAGCCACAGTTTTTATCCGTCCTTGTCCAATCTGCTCTTTCGGACAGCAGCCCGGGGTTGCACATTGACATGAGCCTCGATAGTTCCAGGAATAAATGCTGTTTGGCTTCATGCTTGGATCCTTACTCGCCCGCTGGCCGTTTGAGGGCTTGCTCTTTTTTGGCACTCCAATGGGTCATGCAGTCGTCCTCAACAAGGAAGCAGTAGGACAGGTTTCCTTCTTGTGCCCTTCCGGCGCTGAGCAGCCCTCAACCTTTCTCAGAGCCATGGCTTTTGCCCGCGGAGCTCTACAACTGGCATTCTTTGTGGTGGGCACCCTTCCTTGCAGATAGCATGTGGATACGGGTGTTAGCATATGCTGACATGTTGCAAGGGTGGCTCATGATTCATCCATGTCGCTTGAAGCCATCAGCGAGGTTTGGCTGCATTTCAGCAAGCTCTGGGGAGTTGCGTTCGGTGCATGCTTTTGCGACTGCAATCGTACCAAGGATGCAAGCGGCCCAGATTGCGAACGACAGCATGGTGGAGCCACTGCCCGATGATGCTTGCCTGCCTGGATGCAGAGCCCAATTTTTAGTGTCTCGGAAGCTGCTCCCTCGTATTCGGTGCACTTGGTCAGTCGGTCTTGAACCGTCAAAGGCAGCATTCGTGTTGGACGATGGGGATGACGTTGTGCTAAAGAAGGCCTCAACTCAACTCTTGCTGCCTGTTTCCTGGGTCGTGAGAGTGGTTCCACTTGGCAGTCCTTTGAGGCGTCAGAGCTGGATATCATCGATCGACTTGCCCTGGCATGGGTCAGGCCTGTGAGTCGTTTTGGGGTCACGAGAGTTGATTGCAAGAGAAGCGTCTCGTCACAGGTTCATGGGCAGCATGTCTGATGCAAAGCTCCTTGGACTGAAGTTGCCGATGGCCTTGAAACTCCACAGGCTTGCGGACTCGGGATGGTCACAGTGTCACTGCACTCCCAGTTCTCCGGTTCGTGTTGTGGTTTGCGTTGCGTGGCGGTTACAGACAAGGCTCGCGCAAGCGGCACTTATCGCAGCAGCCCTGATACTGCCTCTGCTCGTGGCCTTGATTCCGCTTTGGGTGCTACTGTTGTGGGAGAGCCCCGGCATGATATCTGTGCACTTGCAGAGTGTGGTGGTGAATCTGAACCACATGCTCTCTTGTAGCATCCTGTGGGAGGAAGAACGTTTTGATGGTCGAGTCTCGCGGTCCACCTCGACACCAGTCAGGCTTCGGAGACGTTCGAGGAGAAGCAACCTGTATCTGTCTATCTTCTGATGGCGCCTAGGAGCTGGGAGCAGGGACCTGACCTTCAGTGTCGCAGAGGAGGCGGGCGCTGATGTCCATCGCTTCACAAAGTTCAACATGCACCAAGCTCAGCCCCGAGAACACAGAGAGCTCCTCTCCGAGGGCACTCGCAGCGCGCGCCCTGCGCACATCACACATCACGGGGACCCCAAACCTCCCTAAAATCGAGACAGGGAACTTCTTGACTCACGGCGCCAGGGAGTATCTCCGATGCTCCTGATGTACACCTTCGCCGGCTGCTGAGCGCAGTGCGATGAGCTCTGAGATTGCGCTGAGCTAAGGTCGCCGACTTTGCCGTGCCGAGCACCCGGCCCTTCAGGACGACAACTTTCGCTCTGTCTGGCCACTATGATACTCTATGTAAGCCTTTCGAGGAGCTTGCCCGAGCTGGCGCAAGAGATGCCGACAGCACTTCCCCAGCTTCCTCAGGCACCAGCTCTTTCGTGAAAAGTGCATGCAGAGACAGTGAAGATTTGCTGGATAGCGTTTAGCCGGGTTAGCACAAGCCTGCGGCTTGTTGAGTTTTTGCCGGATCCGGAGGCCAGTGCCGCGGCATAGGTCGGCTCAGCTGATCGATGAGGTGTTCGCACAAAGCCAGTCGGCCGTCCCCAGATTGAGGAACTGTACATCAGGATTTGGTTTGTCGGGATTCCGAGTACAATTCTACTACCCACATTCTGTGTGTTGCTTCCAGAAGTCGCAGATGACCGGCATAGATGTGCGACTGGGCGAATTGACTCCACCAGTGGCCAACGTCGCTGAATTTGAGATCACATCACGGGCATTTGGACGGAAAAAGACAAAGCACTGTCCCAGGCCCGCGGATCGAGGCTCTCAGTGGTGCCGTTTCTTCATGTGATATTTTAGACGATGCGGCATCGCAGCGGGTGCATGCTCAAACGTTCCCCCACCTTCCTTGCTTGACACTGCGTGCCTTTCACTACGCTGACGCTCGGTGGCCTATGTAGATGTTTGAACTGAAAGAAACGACGCGACAGAGATTGTTCTTGAGGATTTCATGGCCTACGGATGGGACAGCCAGTGGGGCAAGGGTGGCTACGACCAGTGGGGCAAGGGCAGCTATGACCGCTGGGGCAAGGGCAGCTATAGCCAGTGGGCTGGCATGCCGCCCTATATGGGAGGCACGAACTTCTGCAGGCCCGGACATTTTCTTTCATTCGTCTGTAAGTACAGGCCACTGGGGCATGGGCTACGACATGGATCCGATGGCTATGGCTATGACCAAAGGCCGCAGGGGTGACTCGGTAAAAGTGCGGAGCTGTTGTATTTTCGCTGGGTCACTGACAGGCCTCGGCAAGGGCCCAGGCTATTCCCAGCTCTCCAGAGGGAAGGCCAGCCTAACACGGATCGACCTGCCGTGATTGCCCACAGACTTGGCAAGGCTTGTGTTGAGTATGCCTCCGCCGAGGATGCGACGACCCGTGGCTGTTGTTCACGGAGCAGCCCCCTAAACCGAAACCCTAGAGCCCTAAACCTTTGGCGGTGGCTAGTCTCTTGGTCTCAGGTCTACTAACTCAGCCTATTAGGCGTTCTAACTGGGTTGGCAGGCAGAAAAGAGGTCTCAAAACAAGAAACCTTTGGTTCTCAGAACCAGCAGAGAGCCGAGGAAGGCCATCACGTCGCTGCACGGCACGACGCTGGATGGGCGTCAGATCAAGGTTACGGAATGGGTCGGTCTGCTCCCCAAGAGCTTGGAGCCTCATGCGGAGAGCGCTTCAACAAGAGTCAGCTCCCGTAAGGTGGCCAGTCGCCGCTGTCTAAGCGAGGTGATGACAAGTCGCTCGAAAGCACTGCTGTCCAGTGAAGTGTGGATATGGTTCTCGGGTAAACATGATCGAAAAGGTCAGAGCAACGCCAGCAAATCGCACACAGATCGCCCCTGACCTGTAGGACCGGAACTCTCCGAACGCACCCTTGTTAGACCCGCGGAGACTTGCAGCTGAGGTGTAAAGTCTACGTCGCCAACTTGAACTGGAAGACCCAGGGGTGGAAGCTGAAAGAGCATGCTGCAACTGCCGGAACGGTGGTCTATGCCAAAGCGTCCCGGACGAACAAGCGGCTGTTCCGATGGCTCAACCTTTCGGCTGGCATAGAGCCCAGAACGCATGGTTGCCCTCTTCTGTTTCTGTGAGAATAAGAGCAATATGAAAAGCCCTTGAGGGATCAACGGCAGCGATGACAGAAGAGCATGGGGGAGCATGCTCGAACTCTTTCCTTAACACTCCAAAGCTGTAGACAGAGGCTTCACCAGTTTGGACATGACATGGGAACCACCGCAGCCAAGCCTAAAGCCTAACCCAGGTCATCATGGACAAGGATCCCAACGTGGACATGTTGAGCAAAGGCTATGGCAAGGGCTGGGGCAGCGGCTATTGGTGAGAACAGGCGTTGGCAGCTGGCCTCCAAGATGCTCGACTATTTTGTTGCTTGCTGAAAGTGCGTTCCTCGCGGCCACGGCCACGGAACACTGAGGTCGGAGACCCCGAAGCCGGGTCTCCCTGGCAGTGTGGCTTTCTCGCTTGTGGAGATCCTGACAAACTGCTGAAGGGCGATGCCTTCAGCTTCTTGCAGATTGCAGGTCTCGGGTCATTCACATGGTGGACCCTCGCAGGTTGCGGGTTTGCATCTGGAGATGTCCACTCCTTGTCCTCTAGTGCTAGAGGCTTCATGCCCGGCAGGGGCGCTGCTATCCACACCGTCTCCGGCATGTTCTGCCGAGGGTCGGGCAACCGCGTGGTTCACACTTGCGACAAGTTTCCAGACTGTATGGGGCTCCCCCTGCCTCGAGTGAATTGAGATGTTGAAGACGTGCAGCTTGCTGCTTATGCCTTCCTTGTCAGTGATTATCCCTAAAACCTATAAACCCAAAGCTAAACTCTTGTGTTTCCGTGAAACGTAAGCAGAAGGGGGCTGAGCTGCAAGGAAGGACCGTCCGGCTATCTGTTCCCAAAAAGGGCCCATCTTGGCCATGCGCCCAGCAGTCGAAGAGCAGCTTGGCTGGTGGATGCATATACATATATATATATATA